TGCAATCGATAACAGCGCTAAAGCACTGAAAATTGGCATCACACTCGCTGTCTGGCATTCGTTCGCGCTGTTTATTTTTATTATTCATTTATTTATTATTGTTATTATTTATTATTGTTATTATTTATTATTGTTTATTGTTATTTATTATTATTTATTATTATTATTATTATTGTAGTCACTGATTAATAACGATTATTCTCATTAATTAAACAATTTAAACTATAAATTATTGAATGTTCGAACCTAATTTTAAGTTATTTCTAAATTTTTTAAGCACTTACGACTATTTAGTTAATTATTTAGTAGTGGGGAGGGGGTGCTGTTAGTGAATTTTTTTTTTGGGGGGGGGAGGGGAGGTACACTTACCTGTTATTGATAAAAAATCAACCTGATATTGATTTAAAGCGTTTATCCAATGTTATTGATTTGTTACCAGTTAATTTGTTTGGCAAACTTTTGCGCATATTTTCCGACGACTTCAATGGAATGTTCAATTTATCGTGAAAATTATTCTTTCATTTTTCAAATAATACCGTTCTAGAGTGCTTTTCGATTTCAGGTCAAAAATTCAGGTCGAGTGCTTTTTAATTTCAGGTCGAAAATATTTCCGCGAAAANGCGAAAAAAATGGTCGAGATAGACTCGCAGTTTCCTAAACGTTGGCCGTATGGTACGGTGAAAACCGCGCAATGGGTTCGTTTTATTTTCATTTTTTGGCAAAGAAGTAACAATAATAATGATGATAATAAATAAAAATAATAGTAATAGTAAAGAGTAAAAAATAGTAATAAATAGTAGGTAATCTCTGACCTCGGAAGGAGCGGGTATATCTACGGCCCGAAAGGAAATCCCTTCCTGCATCCGTCTACGCTTTAAAAACGAAACATCAGTTACCTCCGAATTGAGAGTCTTAACCCAGCCAAGTCTTAAGCATCTATTCCGGCTCCGGAGCTCATTTGCTTATCAGGCTCCGGAGCGGAGCAAGTTTGTGCCCGTGCCAGTTGCTCAGCTCTGAGTTGGCGTTGACTTGCTTGCTTGCAGTACGGTACCGCGAAAAAATTGCGGTACAACGGCGAAAAAAATTCAATTTTCGCTGAAATTTTTTATTTTTAAAAAATAATTTCAGGTTTGTTGTCTGGCGTTGTTGATCGCGTTGTATTGTTCGCCGTATTATTATGGTGGTACGTCGTTCGTATTTTTT